TCAAGAGAGGAAATTGTTAAGCAGTTTCTCATATCTTTAATTATATGCCAATTTCATTGACATGAAAGTTGGGTGGCAATGCCACCCAACAGTACTTAGTGTTTAATTTGCAATGTAATAAGGATGGAATTATTCCTGAGAGCGACTAAGTATAATGCCTGAATAATAATTTGGAGAATTTCATAGAAAAAGAAGCCATTTTATATGAGGAGAAACAGCCTTGTGAAGGAACCCTGAAAATTAGGAAATGTGGATTCTTTTGCTAGCTTATTGTTGACACTGTGGTGGTTTTTCTATGCTGGCAACTATAGGAATTATTATTTGGCTGAAAATCAGTACTATGTTTTTGAAAATTGTTTTTTCTCCAAACAAAGTGTGTAACCCTTTTGCTAACATAGAAAGCATTAAACCATGTAATTTTGGCAACATCACTTAGGTTGTCCATACCTCAGTTATTCTACCTGTGAAACAAGGAGAGCAGTACCTATCTGGGACTCTCTCGCAGGGATTGGTAGGCACTTTCTAGTTGGTTCTGACTCATAGCAACCCTCTTTGAACAACAGAACAAAACACTGCCCTGTACTGCACCATCCTCACAATCATTACTATGTTTGAACCCATTGCTTCACCCACTGTGTCAGCTCGTCTCACTGAGGGTCTTCCTCTTTTTCACTGAACCTCAACCAAGCATGGTGTCCAAAGTGTAAGACAAAGTCTCAACATCCTTGCTTCTAAGGAGCATTGGTCTGTACTTCTTCCAATAAAGATTGTTCTGACAATCTATTATTCTTCACCAACAGCATAATTCAAATGCCTCAATTCTCTGTTTGGTCTTCCTTATTCATTGTCCATCTTTCACATCCATATGAGGTTACTGAAAATACCATCGCGAGTCAGGCACACCTTCATCCTCAAAGTGACATCTTAGCTTTTAACACTTTAACGAGGTCCCTTGCAGCAGATTTGACTGATTTATTGACTGCTACTTTCATGGCTGCTGATAGTGGATCCAAGTAAAATGGAATCTTTGACAACTTCATCTTTTCTTCATTTATCATGTGGTTGCTAATTGTTCAAGTTGTGAGGATTTTTGGACATATTGTCAGGAGGGACCAGTCACTGGAGAAGGATATCATGTTTGGTAAGGTGGAGGGTCAGAGAAAAAGAGGAAGGCCCCCAATGAGATGGATTGGCCAAGTGGCAGCATCGATGGATTCAAGCGTAGCAATCGTAGTGAGGTTGGCCCAGGATCGGGCACTGTTTCGTTTTGCTGTGCATAAGGTCGCTATGAGTTGGTACTAACTTGATGGCACCTAACAACAATAAATGTTAAGGGGTAGAGTCCTGGTGAGGCGTTGTAGGGTAAACACTGGGCCACAAGGTCATTTGAAACATGAGCTTGGCGGTTTACACTCACCAGCTGCTCCTCAGAAGGGTTGCTATGAGTTAGCAACAACAAGTGATAAGGTATAATCCATTCTGAAGACTGTAGTCTTTGACTTTAATCAGTAAAACTCTTCAAATACACATCACTTTCAGCAAACAAGATTGTGTCATCTACTTATAGCAGATTGTTACTGAGTCTTCCTCTAATCCCAACGATGAGTTCTTCTTTATTTAGTTCAACTCCTCAGATTATTTGCTTAGCCTACAGATTGAATAAGTGTGATGAAAGGATCCAACCCTGACACACACCTTTCCTGACTTTAAACCTTGCAGTTATCCCCTTAATCTATTTGAAGGACTGTATCTCAGTCTATGTACAGGTTCCACATAGGCATAATTAAGTGTTCTGGAATTCCCATTCATTGTAATTTTGTCCATAATTTGTTGTGAGCCACAGAGTCGAATACCTTCTGTAACTGAGGGTGGGGGGAAGATAGGGGGCTTCGATAAATATCTGATATTCTCTACTTTTAGTCACGATCCATTTGAAATCAGTAATGCTATCCCTTATTTGATGTCCTCTTCTGAATCCAGCTTGAATTTCTGGAAGATCCATGTACATGTGCTGCCATGTATATGGATCTCTTTCAGTTAGTTGGCAAGGTTGTTGTTGTTGTTGTTAGGTGCCATCAAGTCAGTACCAACTCATAGTAACCCAATGCACAACAGAACGAAACACTGCCAGGTACTGGGCCCACCTCACAATTGTTGCCATGCTTGAGCTCATTGATGCTGCTATTTAGCCAATCCATCTCATTGGGGGTCTTCCTCTTTTTCTCTGACCCTCCACCTTACCAACCATGATATCCTTCTCCAGCAACTGGTCCTTCCTGGCAATATGTCCAAAGTATGAAAGACAAAGTTTGGCCTCCTTGGAGAAGGAGACTCTGGCTGCACTTCTTCCAACACAGCTCCATTGATTCTTTTGGCAGCCCATGGTACTTTCAATATTGTCTTCTAACACCATAACTCAAAAGCATCAATTCTTCTATGGTCTTCCTTATTCACTGTTCAGCTTTTGCCTGTATATGTATATGAGATTACTGAAAATACCATGGCTTGGGTCAGGCGCATGTTAGTTCTGAAGTTGACATCTTTGCTCTTCAACACTTTAAAAAGGTCTTGTGCAGCAGATTTGCCTAATGCAATAAATACGTCGTTTGATGCTTCCATGAGTGTTGACAGTTGATCCAAGAAGAATGAAGTCTTTGGAAACCTCAATCTTTTCTCCCTTGATAAGAACGTTGTTTATTGTTCCAGTGGTGAGGACTTTTTTTTTTTACACTGAGATGTAATCCATACTGAAGGCTGTGCTCTTTGATCTTCATCAGTAAATATTTTAAGTCCTCTTCACTGTCAGCAAGCAAGGTTGTATCATCTACCTATCGCAGGTTGTTAATGAGTCTTCCTCCAATCCTGATGCCACGTTTGTCTTCATATAACCCAGCTGTCTTCCAAATTTCATGATAGATGAGTAAGCACTTCCAATGCTTCATCAGTTTGCTGAAACATTTCAATTGATATTCTATCTATTCTTGGAGCCTTGGTTTTTGCCAAGGTCTTCAGTGCAGCTTGGCTTCGTCCTTCAATACTATTGTTTCTTGATTATATGCTGCCTCCTGAATGGTTGAATGCCAACCAATTCTTTCTGGTACAGTGACTCTGTATATTCCTTCCATCGTCTTTTGATGTTTCCAGCATCGTTCAATATTTTGCCCATAGAATCCTTCAATATTGCAACTGCAGGCTTGAATTTCTTTCTTTAGTTCTTTTAGCTTGAGAAATGTTGAGCATGTTCTTATCTTTTGGTTTTCTAACTCTAAATTGTTGCACATTTAATTATAGTACTTTGTCTTCTCATGCTGCCCTTCGAATTCTTCTGTTCAGTTCTTTTATTTTACCATTTTTCCCTTTTGCTTTAGATGCCGTACATTCAAAGGCAAATTTCAGAATCTCTTCTGACATCCATTTTGGTCTTTTTTTTTTCAAATGACTTTTTAATGACATTTTGCTTTCTTCATGTATGATGTCCTTGATGTCATCCCACAACTCATCTGATCTTCAGTCTTCAGTGCATCAAAACTGTTCATGAGATGGTCTGTAAATTCAAGTGGATTACACTCAAGATTGTACTTTGGTTCTTGTGAACGTGTTTTAATCTTCTTCACCTTCAACTTCAACATATATATGAGCAATTGATGATCTGTTCCTCAGTCATCCCTTGGCCTTGTTCTGACTGATGATGATTGAGCTTCTCCACCCAATGATTCCTGTCTACTCCATCTAGTGAGGTCCATATGTATGCTGCTGTCCAGTTGGTTGCACCTGATAGCGACCCGGTATAGGGATTCTGAGGCCATAAATCTTCACAGTAGCAGAAAACTTCATCTTCCTCCTGCAGGACAACTGGTGGACTCAAACTGCTGACCTTGTGGTTAGTAGTTCAACTCATAATCCACTATGCTACCAGGGTTCCTTGTGTATAGTTGCTGTTTATGTTGTTGAAAAGAAGGTTTTGCCATGGTCTTGTAAATTTCTACCATGACATCTCAGGGTCATTTTTATCACCAAGGTGATATTTTCCAACTCTTGATCTTTGTTTTCAAAGTTAGCATTCTAATCACCAGTAATTATAATGCAACTTGATTGTATGTTTGATCAATTTCCAACTGCACAAGTTGGTAAAGATCTTCAGTTTTTTTCATCTTTTGCATTAGTGGTTGGTGTGTAAATTTGAGTTAATAGTCATTTTGACTAGTCATCCTTGTAGACGTGCAGATATTATCCTATCATTGACAACACTGTATTTAGGATAGATCTTGAATTGTTCTTTTTGAGGGTGAATATGACATCATTCTACTTCAACTTTTCATTCCCAGCATAGTAGACCATATGACTGACCATCAGAATGTCCATTACCACTCCGTTTCAGTTCACTAATGCCTTGGATATCAATCTTTAATCTTTCTGCTTCATTTTTGATGACTCCGAATTTTTCTTGATTCGTACTTTGTACATTCCACATTCTAATTATTAATGGATGCTTGTAGCTATTTCTGATAGTTTTCAGTTGTGCCCCATCAGCAAATGAAGGTCCTCAAAGTTTTGTTCCATCTACATCATTTAAGACTGACTGACTTTACTTTGAGGAGTCAGATCTTTCTTACTCATATTTTGAGGACCTTCTAATCTGAGGGGGCTCATCTTTCGGCACTATATTAGACAATGTTTCACTGTTATCCATAAGGTTTACACCAGCCTGTTTTTTCAGAAGTAGATTGCCAGATCCTTCTTCCTAGTCTATCTTAGTGTGTAAGCTCTGCTGAAATCTGGCCACCATTGTTGACCCTGCTGATATTTAAAATATTGGTGGCATAGCTTCCAGCAGTACAGCAACACACAAGCCACCACAGTGTGACAAACAGACTGACCATGTGTTATTAAAAGTCCCAATTCTGGGAATTATATTGGATCTGATGTGTGTTCAAGTATAAGATATTAATTATTATTGGTAATAGACTCTGACCTTGCTCTCACGGCTTCTCATATTCCAGATATCCCACACAACCCTGTCGCTTCGGAAAACTCCTATTGCTTCTGCCAGCTTTACGTTCTATTAGCCCATCAACCATAGAAGAAGTGTTTTTCAAAAAAACCATTGGCAACGTGCCCATTACAAGACTGCTTTCAGATATGTACAAATCCAGTGATATCTAAGCTCATAAAGTACCCACTTTTCAGAATGGGATAGTATCAGATGGACTTCTACCCATGGAGAACAAGCCTCAACTAACAAACCTTTCAGGAAGCATAAGCCCTGGGAATGTGTAGCTTTCAGGGGGAAAAAATCCAATTGATACAAAACAAGTACAATAATTTTGACCTTCAGCATCCACCAGGGCAAGGCGGCCCAGAAGGAAAGGAGCAAAGGGATTATCTGAGCAGAGACCTCATGGCTGCCCTGCCCTGGGAGTGGAGTGGAGTTAGGGCTGCCACAGTCTGTGTCATTCTGCCTCTTACCTGGAAGACTGGGCTGAGCTACCAAAAGCTGAAACACAAGTAGTGCTTTCCTTTCCTTCCTGGCATATGAAGTTGGGGAACCAAACACATTGCTCTGTGTATAATGTCCTACAGCGGCCTTCAGAACGATCTCTTGTTGGAGCATTATCTTTTTCAATCATTTTAACATTTTATCAACAGTTTCTCTTCCTTTGTAATCATTAAGTGGCCTTCACAACTGAGTTAATAAGTGAAAAGTAGCTTATGCCGTGATTTGCTTTTGCCCTGTCTTCTTTTTTCTTTCCTTTTTCTTTCGTTCTTTCTTCCTCTTTTTAATACCATAGGCCAGGCAACCTTGTAAAAAGAATTGGTGGATGAACATCAGATTCTCACCAGGACTTCAAGTTGGATAACATCTCAAAAACAGAAGAGCTTTACTAAAAGAACCCAGTTGAGGGAGGATAAATAAACACAGCAAAACCAAATAGAGAACTGATGAGTGGTTGACTGAGGCAGATTGCTGTCCCATTAACATAGTGCTGAAACCAAAGGCAATGGGGGTCCAAACTCGTGGTTCGGAGAGTCACATCAGACAGTGAATGAACATGGACAGGATGCCAGAAGGATTAACCTGAACATTAACAGGTTTCTTGATTGGTCTATTGCTAACAATCCGAGACTCTTCAATGCCTTTCAGAAAACTCTGGTTTCTAGTAAAGCTTTGGTTATGTGCACATGCGTGTACACGCACACATACACACACACACACTGTCCACACTATAAGCTGCTCCTTTGGTATGAATCTATACTTATGGAAATGTAGAAACAAACATTTTAAAATAGCTGCTGTACTTCTCACATTTTGATTTATTAGGTACTAGCACTGAGGGGGAAAAAAATCAGCACTTGGACTATCATAGTATGAATAAAACTTTTCTTGTACAAAGTGAATTAACTGATTTGTGAAGTTAAAAGGTTGTACTCATTGTATTTACAAAGAATAAAAATATATTGAATTTAAATGAGCTTTGCCTGATTTCTTAGCCTACCTTCCTGGCTGGTCTCACTCATTAGATACAAGGTGGCGATGACAGCAGCTGGCATTAAATCGGAAGCTCAGAGCATTCCATCCTAGAGCCTGAAGAACTGAACTACAGAGGCAATTTCCTTTTTACAGTGAGTCCCATTTGTAAAATGATGAATAAAGGAATAAAATATAAGATCCCATGCTGTACAGCTCTCAAATGTAATTGCATCTGTTAGAAAAAATTGCCATGTGAGGAAGAACAAGGCCAATTAAGAGTCTTCATTTACTTCTCTGTTTCTAACTCTCTTGCCAACATTTCAGTGCTGACCAAGAACCTGAAATTATTTAGTGATCAGGAAAATAAAATGTGGAGAACTATATTGGTAAGTAAGATGTGGAAGGACATCCAGATGTTCTCAGAAAATCACAGGGCACTGGCCCCTAAGCCAGAGGCAGGTGGTGGAAATCAGAGGTGCCAAAGACTGGAGGCTGTGGGCTCTTCCTGGGCAGCAGTTCCTGCAAGGGTCTGGGACAAAGGCACAAGCAGCTCTTGGCTAAAATGACCTTGCAGGTTGTATGTGTGCAAGTTCTATCAACCATGTCCACAGAAAATGAAATGTTAGTCTTAAGGAAAAGTGGTATACTTAAAAATGTAACAAGAATGTTGATTGCAGTGCCTTCGTAGTTTTACTTAAATGTCGATCAACAGAGATTAAACACATTGCAGTTTGTGTCTACACTATAGACCAATAATTAAAGTGAATGGATGAGAGCCACTGTATCGACATGGGTAATCTGGAATATAATGTGTACAAGGGGCCTTCAAAAAACTCATTATCTTTTACATCCATTTCCTATGTGTTTTTGAAGCTCCTCATATGTGTGTGGAGGACAGGAGTGTCTAAACCCAGGGTACCTATAGTTTGGTTCTGTTTTTAAAGTTTTTAAAGGCATTGGTGGTCCAGTTATAGAACCCTTGTCTTCAATGGTGGAGATCTGGTTTTGATTTCTGGCCAGTGTGCCTCTTCAGAATCGCCACACATCTGTCAGTGGACACTGCATTACTACGATGCTTGTCTTAGCTTCTTAGTGATGGTTTAACAGAAATACCACAACTGGGTGGTTTTAATGAACATATAATTAGTTACTCACAGATTAAGAGGCTAAAAGTTGAATTTAGGGTACAAGCTCAAGGGGACAGCCTTCTCTGTCCACTCTGGGAAAAAATCCTTGTCTTGGCTTCTCTAGTACTCTTCTTGGAGTTCTTTGCAGATCTCCATATGGCATCTGTCTTTTCCCCATTCATATTCCCTTGCTTCTGTAGCTAACCTGGTCTTTCAGATCTCAAAAGTGACTGACTTACACTGACAGGGCCTCAGTAACACACCAAAGGAAACCCTATGCCCAAACAGGATTACATTCACATGTACAAGGAGTTCAGATTTACAACATATATTTTTGGAGACACAATCCAACCCATGATAATTGTTGAGCAGGTTTCAGAGGAGCTTCCAGACTAAGACAGACTAGGAAGACAAGCCTAGTGATCTCCTTCTGAAAATTAGTCAATGAAATCCCTATAGATTACAATGGTCAGATCTGTTACTGATCCTGGGACTGGGCAGCATTCTCTTCCATTGTGCATGGGACCTCCATGAGTTGGGCTGACTCAACTGTTACTAACCATACCAACATATAAACTTTTACCATCTATAAAACCATACTACCTAATGTTTATGGATATATAAATATATAGCAAAAACATTAAAAGAAGCATGTGTGTGATAAACACTCACCGCATGCTAACGGTTATTTCCAGGAAAGGACTGCATTGGTGAAGGGTACCAGGGACCTTCAAATGTTGCTGTAATATTTTATTTCTTGAGAGAAAAAATAATAATAACATGGAACATATTAAATAAATGTCAAGAGTTCATAAAACTAAATAATGAATCCAAGATTGCTCATTAATGTATTACTCAGGATTTGCTGCAATCATGCTGAATCCACCCCAGATTTTTATGACAGACACTTAATTCTGAATCCTGGGATTGTCTGTCAATCCTGACTCTGTAGGGCGTGGTTGAGATCAGCTGGGCTATAGACTAGGTTTAAATCTGCTCAGTGTTTTCCCATTTGAGACTAGTAACTTCCGGAAACAGACTCTTTTCATGTTAGAGTGCAGATATGCAAGATGGAGAGCTAAACCATGCAAGCACGTTTAAAGCTGCTGCTCACATCCCTTTTGCCCACTTTCTACTGAGAAAAGGGAGACACATGACCAAGCTCAATGTCAAGGGGGCAGGAAAGTATATCCTCTTTATTTTATATCCTTTTCATTTATAATGAAATTTATCACAATCATAATCTATTTAGAACATTATAATAAAATTACAAGGAGTTAAGATTCCTGTAACAAGTTACAGATTACTATCTCCCATTAGAATTGCTTTTGTTTTTGGCATCTCTGACATTATAAACAAGAAACAAACTCAGTTTTCAACATTTGAAAAAGCCCAGACTTAAAATCTCAGAGGCACTCTCTCCTGAGATTTTAGATGTAGATTTAGGATCAGCTTCTTTGGTTAGTGTAAGAACCTGACTGTCGTGTGGTATGTTTCAAAGCACCGTCACTTCTGGTTTCATGGCAGAGAAGGCATTTTTGCATGGGGGCAATGAGACATGCATTTATTCTAGCTCCCCCTTCAATTCCTGTTTCTCCTTGGGAAGGTTGCTTTTTAAGAATATAGTTTATAAGCTATGACAACTAGATATTGAGTCCTACATTTGTGTTTGAATTACTTTTAGTTGTTCTTTGACACAGAGAAAGAACAGGGACAGAATTTAATAACTGAACTGAGATTCCCAAATGATTTCCCTTATAGTTTAAAGTTTATAATCCAATCTAGGAACACAACAACGGAACCCATTGGCTAGAGATCTGCTCAGTGATTTACTCACTTGATCATTATAAAAATAGGAACAGTCTATTTTTATGCAACTTAATTTTTTGCGGTTCTCTCTTAATGGTACATGTGGATTGACCACATTCTTTTTAACATCTACCTTTCTACAGATGGACAACAGTTTATCCAAGGAATCTCCTATTGCTTGCAGTTTTTTACAACAATAAACTAAACTGTCAAGAGCCATCTTTCTATGTACACTTCTGTGAACTTGTGGGAGTATTTCTGTAGAATACATTCTTAGAAGTGGAGTTTCTGGGTCAAAGATTATATGCATTTTTAATTTTGATGGATATAGCCAAATGGCTCTTTAAAAGGGTTATATCAATTTGCATTCCTGCCAAGAGGATATGAGAGGGCCCATTTCATTGCTCAGAATTTAAAAGTGCTTAATCAGACACTGGCTTGATGAACACTTCAAAAGCTGTTAAAAAAATACAGAGAATGCATATATTTCTATTACAAATATGTCTCTGCTAAAATGGTTACTGGATTGACTCGGTAGGTTTCACCCTGTACACATGGTTAGAGCTTGGCGCCCCAAACTTTTCAGACGATGCCTCTGTGAACTTCGGGGTGCACCCATGTCATAATGAAGGTAGAGAGAAAATGGATAAATGAAAATGCAGAAGCAACGCAGCAAACATTTTCTGTTCCTGAGATGCTGCTCGAAGAATCTCAAGCCCCTCATTTTACAGTAACTTATAAACGCTTCTGGAAATGGAAGAACAAGGCTCTCTTTAACTGGATGACTCTAGTAGCTTTACCACAAGTGACTAATAATTTATTTTCTATATAGTCTGTTTTGTTTGAATCATGTGTTTAGATTTGGGGGTCTCACTTTGGAATACAAAGTGGCTTTTTCTTCCAAATATCACTGACCTGAATACAGTCCACTAGGAAGGGTCTTCAGAGCTTTCAGCTGCATGCTGTGAACTGGGTTCACTCAGCAATGTGGCAAGGGCAGGATGTTGCCACATATCCTGGGCATCTTCATGATGTACCACAGTGTTGCAACACTCATTTTGGGAAACCATGAGTGGGGTCAATGTACTGAGGAGGGCAAGGTGATAGATTTGATCTTTAGATGAGCCAGGTGACCTTATTCTGTCCAGGGCACTGGTACCCTCGTATCAGTCAATCATTACATACCAGGACGCTGAACAGGAGTTAGGAGAGGGTCAGACACTTCATCGGTTGGAGACCAGTGATGGTTCAATGGCAGAATCCTTCCCTTCCATGTGGGAGACCCAGGTACAATTCCTGATCGATACGTCTCACCTCAAGAGTAGCTACCACCGACATGTCAGTGGAGGCTTGTGTGTGGTTATGATGCTGAACACGTTTCAGTGGAGCATCTAGACTAAGACAGACCTGGAAGAAAAACCTGGCAACTACCTCTGGAAATCAACTAAGGAAAACCCTGTGGATCACAATGGTTCCAATTCCATTGTGCACGGGGCCACTATGAGTTTGGGTGACTCAACAGCACCTAACAACACCATCAAGGCTAGAAAACAGCTCACAGCCCTGTCCCACCTATCGTCAACCCAGAGCATCTTCGTCATACATGCAGAGATTACCCTAGCAGTGCACTTTGTGGAAGGAGCCAGGAGCATTGGCCAAGGTGAAGGGTTCCAGGTGTGACCACGCAATCTTGAGCAAACCAGTTAGTCTCTCTGCACCTAAGCGTTTTCATCTGTATAAAGAAGCAGGCGGCTCAGGTGTGTCGAATTTCTCTTTTTCTGTCCTCACATCTCATGGTTATTTTCCTCAAATGTGCCAGGAGACCACAAGACGAAATGTCCCTTGGCAATAAGAACTAATCAGATTAAACTCATTTCCAATCTGCTTCACCTTGGCTCCTTGCCAGAAGAATCCTTTCGTTTAGGAAAGCTTTCTGAGTCTTGGCTGGTCTGTGAATCACCTGGGGAGCTGTTAAAGCTCTCCATGCCCAATTACAACAGGATCTCTGGGGCGGGTCAGATTCCAGTACATGAGGAGGATGAGAAGCCCAGTGCAGGCCTTCAGT